CACACAGAAGTTTTGGCTGTAGTGGGCGTGTCCAACTCTGAAGCCAGCCGGAACTCCATTCCTGTGCGTTCCTGCCCCAAACTAGCCCTGATAGTGACGATGGACTATTTTGACAATCATTACGATAGAAAGGCAGTAAAATCTGGTACTGAAAATTAATTAGATCCAGGTGGGTAGCCATGTTGGTCTGAAGCAGTAGAACAAAGTTTGAGTCCAGTGGCACCTTTAAGACCAACAAATTAATTATTTCTTCTAACAGACTCACAATATGCTCAATTTCCTCTTCTGTTTTCAGTAACAGAGTGAAAAAACAACTTGCTCTTTTAAAGACACAACTCAACTTCTGGACTATTCCCAAGAACCACAGAAGAGCAAAGACCTCTCTTCCAGTGTACTTATTGCCATGAGAGAAAGATTTACCATTTCCAGGATGGGGAAGCAGAGAAGTACATTCACAGAGGTTTCCATTCTTCTGCTTCTGAGGTAAAAGTGTGTGTAGTGGAGATAAGGACACTTCAGTGTGTAGGAATAAGAGGGAAGTACATTAGATACTTTTTTTTGTACTTTATAGAAGCAGAGAGCCAATGTCATGTGGTGGCTACAATGTTGGATCAGAATCTGGGAGGGATTCTGCCATGGGAGGTCGCTGGGTGATCTCAGCTTCTTTGTCTCAGTCTAACCTTACCTTACAGGTCATTGCAAGGATAAAAGGGAGGAGGGGAGAACCATGCTGTAAGATCCTTGGGGTCCCCCACTGGGGAGAAATGCAAAGTATACATATTAGCAGGGGTCTTTTCGTAGAAAAAGAGCTGCAGGAGCTCATTAGCACATGGCATGCTAATGAGCTACTGGGCTATTAGCATATGCCACACCCCTGACATCACCGGAAGTGATGGCAGAAGGGGAAGCAAAAGGGGGAGGCATCTTCAAAAGCCTCCCCTTCCCTTGGGGGGGGAGCGAAGAGAGAAGGGGTTTAAACTTTAAACCCCTTCTCACTAGAGTTGGGCCAAAGGAGGAAAGACAGAAGGAAAGAGAGAGAGTAGAGAGAAGGAAAGAAGGAAGGAAAGAGGGAAAGAAAGAGGAGGGAAGAAGGAGGGAAAGAAAGAGGAGGGAAGAAGGAGGGAAAGAAAGAGGAGGGAAGAAGGAGGGAAAGAAAGAGGAGGGAAGAAGGAGGGAAAGAAAGAGGAGGGAAGAAGGAGGGAAACAGGGAAAGGAGGAAAAAAGAGAAGAGAAGAAGGCTCCCGCGCGGCTCGGGGGACCCGGGGTGGGGCTCTCCGGGCCTCGCCCGAGCCAAAGCGCTCCCGCGCGGCTCAGTGAACCCGGGGGCAGGGCTCTCCGGGCCTCGCCCGAGCCGCAGCGCTCCTGCGCGTCTTGGGGAACCCAGGGGCGGGGCTCTACATGCCTCACCTGAGCCGCAGCGCTCCCGCGCGGCTCAGGGTACCCGGGGATGTGGCTCTCTCAGCCTCCCCCTAGCCGCAGCGCTCCCGTGTGGCTCGGGAAACCCGGGGGCAGGGCTCCGGGGACCCGGGGGCGGGGCTTGCCGCCACACGGGCTGCCGGAGCGGCGCTCCGGAGGGCTCCGGCCCAAAAAGACCCCTGCATATTAGAAATGTACACGAGCAACGAAATCTGAATTCAGATTCAGAATTCAGAAAATCCAGAATCTGTTAATATTTAGAACTCCATTAAAGTCAATAGGAATAGCCATTTTCCACTTTCAAAAGATGTGAAAAAGGCAAGCCACTTTTCACAAGGTTTCCCTCATCCCTCTGACCCCTTCCCAGTGCCTATGCCAACCAAAGAGTTGAGCAGATGGGGAAAATACACACAGCAACAGCCGGGCAGCAGTGCCAGGCATTAGGAAATGACTGCAATCTGTGCATGAACCCTGAATAGTGCAAATGCCATCACGGCAGCATTGTGAATGGCCCAGTGGAGCAGAGGACAGCTGATGTTGTGGAATGGGCAAATACCCTGGGCAGCACTGGCAAACAGACTGGAGAAGCAGACAGACAGAGAGTGGTAGGCGAGTGGGAAAACCCCCAGCAGCTCTAGGTACAGCACAGCTGAGTGAGCACAGTCCCAGAGTAGCACTTGGAAGAAGGGAAGGGACAGCAGGAGAAGGCAGAAGACTGAAGCATGGCATACCCTGTACTGTGGACTGGAGAGTGCCATTCTCTCTTATACAGCCTCTTGTCTTGGATATCCAAATGCCAAACATCTCTAGCTCCTTCTCTGCTAATCTAGCCATTAACTGCAGTTGCTTTTTATTCTAATCCCTCCTCCCCCCCCCAAGCACTTTCTGGTAGGACTGAACAATCAGAACCAGCTCAGAAACCTGGATCTGGGCACCTGGGTCTCTGCCAAAGATCTGAATAGCAATTAGGGTGAGGGGAGATACAATTTGGAATGAGGAGTAGTAGGAGGGGAACTTAACCGTTTCCTGCCTCCTGGTTTTCCTGTGCTATCCCCTCTCTGTATCCAGTTTTTTTTTAATCAGTTCCAGCAGGCCTATTTCTGGATGGGGAAAAGAAACTTTGGGAAGGAACAGCAACAGAAATGCAGCTGGGAACAAAAGAGTGAAGTACCGCCTTCTGCTCCTTTTCTTTTCTGAGTTGTGCCCACCTTCACTGCTTGGTACATGTCTGGTCTTTACTAGTCTGAAACCAGGGAAAGATACTTTGCCCTTTCCTGATTACTCAACCTGGGAACAGTGGATTTCAATTTCCACTTGAGTTAAATGCCTAGTTAAAGCCACTTGTATAATGGTCAGTCCGAATCCTTCCACTATTACTTACATTCATCGTTCTCGTATCAGAAGTTTGGGAGGAGGATTATTTCTGCTTTCAGTGGGACATTTCCATTAACCCAGAAAGAAGATTTTTAAAAATCTGCAGCACTAGTTTTGGTGCCATGAAAAGGGAGGGGAGGAGACAGGAATCCTAATGCCTCTATTTAGTTTTTTTTAAAAAAAAATGCAGTGCAGTGGGACTGGGCAATAAACTTATTCCCAGCACCACTTGGTAATACATTATCATCACCAGTCACAAAAGAAACCCTTCAGCAACCTGAATTCCATAATCTCACAGTGAGTAAAACTATTAAGGATATCCATTACACAAGCTTTACTTATTCTGACAGTGAGCAAAACAAGTAATGAGATACATTACACAAGTTCTGTTTATTGACTGGATGCCAACTTGTCTCACCAACATCATAATAAAATAATGTAACTTTATTTAGGTTACATGACTCTGTCTGACTGGCAAAACATTATAACTGAAAGGACTACGTTGGGACTGGAGGACAATATTAGAGACCACAAGAGATGTCTCTTCTACCTGGCACAGCCACACAGGCACATAGGCAAGACTGCTTAATGCAAATTAGGTACAAACACAGATACCCCAAACCAGCATTGTGTACAAGATTGTCTCCAAGGACTGGTGTGTTACTGGCCAACATACAATCACAGAGGGTAGACCCCCGCAATTACTTGGGAAACGTTAACAGGGCCCAGCTTTTTCTCCTCAGAGGGGCCTGGTTCCCTATCTTTGTTGTCCCCAGAATCCTCTTCATCACGCTCTGGGGGAATCATCTACTGTATATTCCCTGCCCTCTCTTCATTCAACCAGCATCAAATAAGACCATTCCACCATCTCCATGTCTATGTTTTTGCTGACTCAGTTCAGCTTTCATTCTCTTCTTTTCTTCTCATTCCCATTTCTCTTTCTCTCTCGCTGTCCCCTCCTTCCTTTCTGCTCCTCCATATCCTTTCCTGAGGAGTAAAACCCTTATCTGACTGGCATATATCCTTTCCCTCAACGCCTTTCAACTTTGTCACCAACTGAAGTTGTTTAGGCCAGGCCATTGCTTCCCCTTTCATTTTTTTTTTTTTTAAATCCAGGCTGCACCTACTTGTCCCACTGAACACGAGGAAGCTGATGTCAGAGAATACATACTTTGAATAGGTTTGCATGGTGCAGCCCTAATGCAGGAAGCAGATCTGCTTGAATTAAAGGGTTTTTAGCTCAAAATATGCCAGTTTGGGGAAGGGGATTTATCTTATTTTGTTTTTCACCATTGTGACTTTCTCCCCCTCCCTGGTGCTTAGGACAGCATTCATGGGTGATCCCATTTTATTCTTACCACACCCAATGAGATGCATTAAACTGAGACATGAGTCCTTTTCAGAGGTTCATAGGAACTGGGCTTGACCATTTGGAAGGGAATGTGGGATGTATTTCTTTACTGTTTCTTAACCATCCTTTATTTAAGCATGAAAGGATGACATCATCAAGCTATATCTCTAGTCTCACATCGTTACACTTGGTTATTTGGCTTATGCTATTACTCTAGAGGAAGAGGGGCATTATAGAAGTTTTTAGATTGAAAAGGTCTCCTGAACGCCATTTCCAAATTCTTGCCTTCTAGAAGAGCTGCAAAAGTGTGGTCATTGCCAAGCACCTAATAGAGTTGTTGACATGCATTTGGCAGGGTGGGTCATATTGCACAGAGCTGACTGAGATTCTTTGATATCCCAGATGGTTGTTTTTTCTTACCAAAAAGACCTTAAACATTTATTTAAGTCACTGCTTTGGGCCTGTACAACTTGTGACCCACCATACCAAATGTAACCCACTAGCTGTGCCATGCAGCCTGGACCAAGAACTCAACAAATGCAGCAGTTTCTTCTCATGAATAACATGAATTTACATAGAATATCTTCTTAGTACATTGCTGTCAACATGTTGCTGCTACCATACCTCAAACAAATATTGCAGAGCTGGAAAACATCCAGAGGAGGTCAAGTAAGATGATTGAGGCATTGAAGCACCTTTCCTATGAGGAAAAGCTGGGGAGTCTGGGGCTTTCCAGTTTAGAGAAAGAACAATGATGGTGGGAACACAACAGGGGTTTATAACATCACACATGGGGTGGAGAAAGTAGATATAGAATATTTTCATCATGCTGCTGAGGTTACACAATGAGTAATTATACCTGTCATCGCAGTAGGTGAATTTCATGTCCATGCTATGACGGCTCAGGAATGTCTTGCTATCCAGTGGAATATCAGTGTTGGAAGGGTGCTGAATAGGCTCACACATTAATATGAGGCAGGATAAGAGAGGCTCCTTATAGCCACACAGGGCATGTGGAGGGCATGTATTATAGACCTTCATTTGCCCAGTGCAGTGCAAAACCTGAAATGTAAAGAGTTCATTTGTAGTATTTAGGAATCCTTCTATGGTAAACAAGTTGAACATGTCAGCCAACATAGGTAAACACGGTTACCTTCCATGTGGCAGATTTCAGATTGACTGTTCTACCTCTGTTGGTAACCGTGCATTTCATTCTCATAAAGAAGTCACGTTCCATGGACATCTCTTTATTTTTTTTCCCAAAGCCTGGACCTAGGAAAAATTTGGAAAAGATAATATTTTTACTTGAAATATTTTTACTGCACTCTTCTTAAAAATCCACCCCTCTTACTCTTGCCTAGCCCATGAAACCATTTCCACTCTCATTAGTTTTATTTGTGGAGCTAGGGGATCACATGTTTATTTGAAGTCATGACCTCCCTGATCCTATGAGGTAGATCTTGCTAGAAGACTGGTATCAATTTTCTGGCATATTTGTTACCATCGATTTGTGGCAAAGTGTACAGGAGAAGGAGAGGTCAAAGGCTCCCCTAGATGTACAGTACTTGGGCTACGTAACAATTGAACAGACACTAACATACACATGAGAGAGGTGACTGTCTCCACATTACAACAGGTTCTTTAAGAGAAGTCTCCATATTTCCTTTTGCCCTGTCTCCTCTGCATTTTTTTAAATTACCATTTTTCAGGCTCAAGTTTTCTCGAATTTCTTCGTGATCACATGGATGGGTGAAATCAAAAATGCTGTGTCCAGTCAATTCCACCTGTTTGAGAGTAAGTCAGACAAAAGAGGGACTTAGAAATAAAATGTAATACTGCAACATTATTTACACTGTGAACATACTCTACAAATGAATTTTAATCTATGAAAGAAGTTAAAGTAATGTTTATGGCAGGTGCGTCTGAGCTTTAGCTTTTTAATTTTTGTAAATACCGATATTTATTTTCTTGCTTGGTTCTGAACCACTGTGTTTTGAAATAAAAGGCAGGATACAGATTCTTAAATAAATAAAAGGCTTTTTAAATGTATATGTTATCTCCCATCCTCCTCTAAAGGTTGAGGAAGAGTTACAAACAAAAATTTATTTTGTCCTCACAAGGACCATATCAGACTAAAACTGTTGCCGCTTTGCTCTTCTCTGTCTTTCATTTTTCTTGTAACCTGTAGCTGAACACAACTCGTAAAAGGATGCCATTGTGGGTAATGGCCCTCTGGCAACTCTATATCATTGGTTGCCAATGAGGAGGGGTACATGGCAACACATCACACGATCAGTTCATATCATACATTCTGTTTAAACTGGAAACACAGAGTGGTAGCAGATCAGACCTCTTCAAACATTTAATTTCATCTGGAGTGACATGGAGTGTGAAAAAATGGAACAGAATCAACAGGGAGATACAGATACACATAATGCGATGCAGCACAATGTATACTACTTAATGGAGAACTCACCTTGGCATTTTAACTGACAGATTCGATAAGAAGCATAGTAATCCTTCTACCCATACTTTACTGTTACCCTCACTACCGTTGACAATGTATAAAACATTTTTTATATTCAAAGTGCTTTCAAATCTTTATTTTCCTTTTGTCACTATCACATTAACAGTTCTGTAAGTGGATTGTTATTGATCCCATTGTACAGATGAGGCACTTTGGCTGGGGGGGGGGGAGGCAATTATCCCAAACGGCCTAGTCATGTTATCTCTTTCTAACTCTCTTACTAACTGGGGCTATACAAATAACAATCTACCAGACAAAAAAAGCAGCCTACCAGCCACTTACTTGGCCTGCTAGGTGCTTGACAACTGCTCTGTGTGCAGTCTGAAGCTCCTAAGGGAAAACAGGAGGGTTAAATCAAGGGCCTCCAGGCTGGCTGCATATAGCTTTATAGGTCACAAAACCACAGCAGCTCTTGTCAGCTGCACCATGCAGTAGGCAATGGCTCAGTCAGTGGGTCACAAGCAATGCTCCCTCTAAGCTGTGGAGTCTCGTGAGGAAAAATTCTACTTGGTGAGCTACTGGCATTAAAGTTGTGAGCGAGTGATTTGGCTACTGCATCAGTTAGTTTGCTCTGGAGCCATCCCTTCCTGAGCAGAGACAAAAATGTGTGAGCCAGAGGCTAAAAGACTGCGAGCTAGCTCACACTAACTCAGCTTAGAGGGAACAAAGCTAAGCTGACTTGAGTCTCATGCAGGGGTCTGTCTACAAGACACTGAGAATCAAGCCTTCTGCAAATGAAACTATCATCCCCTACTCTAAACCAGGGAAGCAGCACACGTTCCTGGCTGGATCAAGAGCCAGAGGCACCAAAGGATGATGGGTCTGCTTTTAGTTCTCATGCTGCAGAGATAGTGTGCTCTGCTATTGGCTCTGAAAGTGTTGGTCCCATAGCATCCCTAATCCACTAATAGAACCATCCTTTTCATTTGGATTTGTTGTTGTTTTTTGCCATCAAGTCACAGCTGACTTATGGCTACCCCTCAGGGATTTCAAGGCAAGAGGCATTCAGAGGTGGGACAGCCTGGGCTATCCAGGTCAGGACCTTCGCTTGGATACAGATTGGAAAATCACAATATACCTCACTTCTGGAGCCCTGAGACTTGCAAGAAGCTTCTCTTAAAAATCACATTTCTTCAAATTAGCTACACTGAGAAACAAAAGGGAGAAGCAAAAGTTATATTATCCAGATGGCTACGTGAGAAGATGCTTTTACCTGTGTCAGACCCATGTATTTGCTGATGTTCTCTGACAAAAAGATCATGTCTCCATCCTGTGTGATCACAGTAATAAATCCCTCCAAAGCCTTCAGGTACAAGTTGTCCATTTGCTGATCCGTCTCAATTTCAGTCTCGGTGTCAGTGCAGACTGAAAGAAAATTGAGGGGCGAGTGGGAAAGAAATCGAGCAAAAGAGGAAAATCAGAACTGGTGCTTCCCAAAGTCACACTGGATGAATTTTGTGTTCTGTTCTGTTGATTACACTTTTTAACAAGAACAAGAGTATGCAATAGTTGTCATTACAGTCCAGACAATATTCTTGCGGGACTCACACACATACAGAACCAGGACCCACACCCTCCACTGAATAAGGAAGCACATGCATGAAATGATGCTCTGTGTGCATTTCCTGGCCTGATCCAGGGCATGGGACTGCATGCAAGACAGCCTCAGTCAGAAAAATCAGTACTAGAACCAATCAGCTGTTTGGGAGAAGGACCAGGGCACAGGACTGAATCCTCTTAACTTCCTCTTCCCCAGGCCCAAAGGCAGCTGGTCAGCGATAGAACGGAGTACCTAGCTGCAACTACATGTACGTATTGGGCCAAAACCAGGGGTTCACCAAAAAGGAATAGTGATCTGACAAAATTGTTCCATAATCATCTTTTTTTCATTGCTATATAAAGGTGCATACAAAGTTTTAGTTAATGAAACAGGAGAGAATAATAAGATTATGAAATAAACTCTACTTAGCAAACAAATGAAAAGCAATATACCTTTATTCTAAATTTGGTAATTAGCATATTCAGAAGAACAATAAATACATCACTATAACAGTATTCAGTGTTATACAGACTCATTCTCTCTCCTCTTCCTTGGAAAGGAAAGGGTGATTCTGTGACTAATCTGAAGCGAGTCTACCCAGATGTCATTTTATTCAATTTGCTTAAAACATTTCTATCCCACTTTATCTCTTCCAATCCCATGGGGCTTACTCTCAAGAAAATGGTTTTACGATTGCAGCCTTAAAATCATACATGCATCCAGAAAGACTTTGTTTTCTCGTGACATGTACAACCCTCCCACAATGTGGTATCACCAACTGCACTGGAAATTCCTCCAAGTTTCCAAATAAAATTGTTGTACATCAGCAAGTCCCGATGGACACAGGGAACAGTTCACGTGGTTCTCTAGATCATGACCTAAGTAATTTTAACCATTATTGAGAAGAAAGATCTTTTCATCCATACCATTGTAAATGAGACAGCTCTGTATATAACAGCAAGCAGATACACAGGAAGGGCACTATTATTTCTTTTTAAACACACAGACACAAACCCCAAAACATTTTTGGCAAGGTTGAATCATTTTTGGAAGGAAAGAATCTACTTAGGATATCACAACTTGGTATGACTCAATGCAATGATGAGGGGGGGAGGAGAAAAGGGGACTCATGATATTTAGCCTGAACCAAGGAAAGAATTACAAGTCACAATAAACAAAGCATTGGTGAATGGATACAATGCACCCTGACGTCAATCTGCCATGTGTTTCATCATCCTCTCACAGCCCATGGCAATAGTGGGAAAACCCACAATGAGATGGGATCAGGACATGATGCAATTTTTACTATAAAATGATGGAATAGGACAAGAAGAACTCAGCAGAAGACCTAAGCAGGGGGCAGCTGTTTCTCATAGCAGCCCAGTGATTGATGCATAACAAACAATTTCACCCTGGCAGAAACAGTATTTTCAATAAAGGAGCTGATGGCTCCAGTTAGATGTAACCTTTCTACCACTCCAGTTCCCACCTGTCTTTAGATCCTCAATTAGATTTCTAGTCTGAAAACAATGCTGGTCAAATACAAGATGTTGTGGGTGTCACCCACTTATTCCTTGGAATGGCGAGAAACCAAAATGCTTAACCTGTAACTGCAGGAGATTCTATTTACTTTCCCACACAGACATCTTGGAAAGGCTCTTTACCAGAGAGCTTGCATAAGGATTACCAGGAGGACCACAAGTTGCTATTGAGGACAGACCTGATGCAATTAACTGCTCAGCACCAATGGTCTACTGCAGTCACAGGTTACTGCTCCCCAAAGGCAGCAGTGACAAAATTGTTCTCTCAAAGGGCTAGAAATTCAGGAAGATCTCTTGCAAAGAAACACTGCTAAAAACAACCAGTTCGTTGCTACAGCAACATAATATCGCTTCTAAAAATCAGATGTCGTTTTTTAAAAAGGTGTGGATAAATAAGTGGGTGCAATAAATCAATGACTGTTATCCACAATAGTTTTTTTCAAAAGAAAATCACTCCCTGTTCAGTGGCTGGTAAACAGATGCTGGGGATAAGCAACAGGGATTGGCTGTCCAATCATGCCCTGCCTAGGGGTATTTGGCTGCAAACCACTAGAGATAGAGTACGAGATAAAATGAAACTTTGATTTAATACTGCAGGGCAGTTCTTATGATGTTAGGCACACAAGCACTCCTAAACCTAGCATTGGCAACAAGCAAACATTTTCAATGGTAGGGATACACTGAAGTACAAAATGCACTTCTGTGGGAGGAGAATTTGGCCTCTCTGAAGTCAGAGATATAGTTATAAATGTGGACCAGACAGAGTAGAGCAGGAAGGAAAACAGTGTGAAAAGCAGGAAAAGTGAGGGAATAGAATGTGAATTTCAATGTCACTTGAACCTGAGTTGCCTTTAGCTGAAAAAGGAAACAGCTCAGGAGGCTCACCCAGCTTTTATTGTGGCTGGGTTCTTAAAAGGATTATTATTGCCTCCAGCCATGTCCAAATCATTTTCTAATTACATTTTGTAACCAGCGTTATAAACATGCACCTCCTTTGACAAAGACATATTAGAAACAAGAGATTTTCTTAATTAAGGTCTCCTGTTTGCAGTGGACATTCAGTGGTGCAAAGAAGTAGTTAGAAGCAATGTTCCCTCTAAGCTGTGGAGCCTTGTGAGCAAAAATGCTACTTTGTGAGTTACTGGCATTACAGTTGTGAGCGAGCGATTTGGCTACTGCATCAATTAGTTTGCTCCGGAGCCATCCTGCCTGAGCTAAGACAAAAATGTGCAAGCTGGAGGCTAAAAAACTGTGAGCTTGCTCACACAAACTCAGCTTAGAGGGAACACTGGTTAGAAGGATAAATATTCAGAAGGATAGCCAGCTTGTCTGAACTAGAGATGCTGTGAATTTCACTGTGAACATATCTGATGATTGAACTTCCCATGTTTGAAGGTAGCAATCAGACGTGAGCCAATAACTCAGTCTGTTTGGTTGGTACCATGCAGCCAAGAATGCTCGCCAAACTGGTTTGCATCAGGTTTTCACAAAACTGTGCATGCACAGGGACGCTGTTGGTTCAAGCTGACTGGCAGCCATTAGTATCACTAAGGACTACTTAGTACAGCTGTGAACTCTGGATTGGGAAATTCCTGGAGATTTTGGTGGTAGTGGGGGTGGCTGTGACAGGTAGGGTATAATTCCATTGAGTCAACACTCAAAAGCAGCCATTATCTCCAAGGGAACTGATCTCTGTAGGCTGGTGATCAACTGTTGGCAACCCTAGTACTTAGCCAAACACTGAAGGGTAGGATTACTATAACACAGCATTTATCATTTATTTATTTATTATTTGTATTTATAGCCTGCCCATTCCGAAAGTGGGCTCTGGACGGGCTACATCATATTAATAATACAATAAATACTGTTAAAAATCTAAAACACAATAATAGACATTAAAAACAATAATCAATGACTTATTGATATGATTTATGAGTAATCCCAAATAGTTTGCATCACCCGGAGCTGCACTACTCATTGAAACCGACTGGCAGCCATTACCATCACTAAGGACCCCTCACCCAAACACTGAAGGGTAGGGTTTTATCAAGACACAGCATTTATTGATGAATGTTTTATATGATTTTTAAGTGATCTAATTGTCTATTTAAGTAATTGCCTACCAAGCAGAGCAGTTATGCTGCAAGGATAGGGAGGTGGTAGACCTCAATCAGACTGCGTGAGAACCTGCATGCATGAAAAGCCAATTGCACCGAACTGCATGGTTAGTAAGGGATACAGTTAAACAACGTGTCAAACAGCCACAAATAGATCAATGAACTGTCAAACTGATCACCAAAAAATCATGCCTTTATTTGCAACTGACAAACAGGGTGTGAATCAGACTGGTGGGTGTTCATTCATCCCTAGTCTTAACCTACGTAATGACATAATAAGGCATGTAGGTAGTTCTTCTTGAAGTCCTACAGTGGTGAGATGCAGGCACTCATTTCCCAGTGAAGTGGCAAATTGTAAGCCCACCAACTCCGAGACAGCCATGAGCAAACCTTCTGCAGTGCATGGCCAGGTAACAGTACAAAATATATCACACATCTGAAGCCCACTGAAACTTGGAGAAGCCAAAATGTGGCTATTTTATGTAGCAATATATATATTTTACCAACACTGCTTTGGAACAAAAATGTCCATGATATGCAAGTCTACAGCTCTGAGACTGCATCTGCCCATTCCTTTCCCCACCTACACTTCTTTCTGCTTTCCAGAAAGTTCAAGGTGATTTACAGTCTTATTTGTTTTAAATGCTTATAACCTGTTTTTCAATAGAATGGGACTGAAAGCAGCATCATACCAAAAACAAAAATCTCACATTTCATAACACAACCAAAACATACACAAAGATAAAACCAGACACAAACAGCAACTGTACACAGAAACTATGCATCTTCAAATGCCCTCCAGAATGCCATGAAGGTGGCGTCTCAGGAAGATTGTTCCACAAAACAGGGGGACTGCCCCCCCCCCCGCATGACCTTGCTTGCCCGCATGAGGGGATGCACAGAGTTGCTACTGGGGTGACTAGAGTTTTTGCATGAGTTCATACCTGGAAAGATGGTCCTTCAGTGTGTGGAACCCATGTCTTGAAGGATTTGCAGGTACCAACCAGCAATTTTAAATAGAACTTGGAAACAATCAGGTAATCAAAGCAAAGATTTTACTATGGGAATAATATATGCAAAAGCAGCCAGCTTCAGACAATAATTGAACTGCCACATCCTGCACCAAGTCTGTAAGTTGTCCAAGGACTGTCCCATACAGAATATCTT